TAATTAGCCTACTCTATATGATACTGTTTCATTGAGCTCGAAGACAAACAACACACTTTTGTTTTAGCCTACTTAAAGGTGCACCAAGTTAATTTCACCCATAAATGACAACACAAATATATTTACAAACAATGTACATGCAGACGAGGAAATTTATTTTTTGGTAATTTAACATATTGTGAAGTTCCCTCTCAAAACGACTGCCATGTTGAAATGACATAACTGTCTAGTTCAGGGGTGTCCAAACTACGACCCGCTATCACTCCTGTGGAGGCCGCGAGAGATTTTTAAAAATGATACGAATCTGCAGAGGTAGGCAAACTACAGGCATTTTCATCCAGCCCATGAGACAGTTGGTCTATGGCAAGCCGTTTTAGCATTAAATACTCCTTGCTCTACTAGTCATAATTTAGTTTTGACTAGTCAAAATTCCAATTCCAGATATCTATTCTGCAATTTTGACTCGTCGTAATTGGAATTAAGATATCTACAATGCTATTACGTCTAGTCGTATTGTTGAAAATATTGTACAAAAGAGTTTTGACTAGTAGAAATTGTAATTAAAGATATCTATAATTGATTTTGTACTAGGCATAATTCTAATTAGAGATATCTCAAATTAAAATTCTACTAGTGATAATTAAATTAGAGATATCTCTAACTGAATTAACACTAGTAAAAATTATAATTCAAGATATCTCTAACTGGTGTTTGAATAGTCATAATTATATTGCAGATATCTTTAATTCATGATTTCTTAAAGATACCCAAAATACATTTGTAGATACCTGAAAGTAATTTATTACTAGTCAAATTACAGTTGTAGATATCTTGAATTGGATTTTTGACTAGACAAAACTTAGTAAGAGATATCTTGAATTGGAATTCTTCCTAGTCAAATCTCATTTAAAGATATCAATTTAATTATGGATATCTCAATCTGAATTTTGACTAGGAATATCTTTCTTTGGAGATATCGGCATTTAGCTTTGTGACTAGGAATAATTTCATACTACGATACTTTTAAATGCTAAAACGGCTAGCGATAAGTGTCTCGCTGCAGCCTGCGGTGGACATCCAACCTGGCCCACATCCAAGTGTGACGTCACAAACCACGCCCATGTCAAAATACGTCACATTCTTCTCATTCATTTTGAAACAGGAAGAAGCATCGATAAGAAGATAATTTGCATTGTTTGCCAACCACTAAAACAGTTGTTGTTTTCCGTGTCGGTAAGTAAAAAAGTACTGTCGCTTAGTATGTTTTGAACTTTACACAGGCATGCTATTACTTAGCTAGCAACAAATATATATATATATATATATATATATATATATATATATATATATATATATATATA